GTTTTAAAGCTACAGTGAAGATACTGGTATCTTATGAAACTAGCACATCCATTGGTACTAACCATGTCATGCTAGCATGCCAGGAAGAGGGCTAAATAAGGCTTTAAAGGGTCAATTTTGGCAATGGAAAAACTGGCAGGGTCATTTTCAAAGATGGTATCCTTTGATCTCTGCATGTGGTATAAATGAGTTATTTACGCCTAGTGTATTGAGTATTTCTGCAAACTGGGGCCCCCACTTCATGCCACGTCTGCATAACCCCTTCTTGCACTGAAAATTACAAATGAGGCATAAAGCAGGCTATCCAACAAATGTCTGATAAGTGCTGCTTCATTAAGGATTGAATGAAAAGCACGTCTTTTGAATAGTCTGATGTAAAATAGTTAGATGTTTTAGATTTAGTGTTTTAGGTGAGGTATGCTATTCTAATTTAGTACACGGCTGTGGCTCAGAGCAGGTTGTCCACTAATCGGAAGGTTGTTGGTTCGATCCCTGGCTCCTCCTGCCGCATGTCGAAGTATCCTTGAGCAAGATACTGAACCCGAAACTGCTCCCGATGTTGCACATCGCTGAGTGAATGTGTATCAATGAGTTAGTTTCTGAATGTGGCATGTAGTGTAAAAGCTCTTTGAGTGGTCGGGAGACTAAAAAGGTGCTATACATTTACAGGTCTTTTTTGTCAAATGAAAATGCCAAAACATTCCACTTTTGTTGCTGTTTTGGGTACTGAACAGTACTCTCTGCAGCAAGTGCTATCCAACATCTTCTTTGAACTAAAAATGCATAGAATGTAGGTAAACACCATCAAAATGTAATATTTTATCTAACTACCAGATGATTAGAAATTGCTGCACTATCCATCCAAGAGAAAGCGCATTCATTCCTCTTAGGTACTTCAAAGGAAGAGAGTTTACTTGAAAATAGTACCTAAGGGGTGTGTAGTCACTCTTAACTTGACCAAATATCCAAAGGTTAGAATCTGGATTGTAATGACTGACAGACTTACATAATATGATCCATGTCTGTGTGAGCTGTAGATAGATCTGCAGGTCAGTCTGCAGGCCAACTTCTATAATGGCAACATCAGAGCCTGGTCTGAGTCTGAGCTGGGACAACTCCATGGAGCAGTACCACATACCTGCACACAGACAGACACACACACACACACACACACACAACACATACAATCAGAGAGTAGTTTGAAGAAAGCTAATAGGAATAATCAGAAACGTTTCCACTGCTTGAGTTGAAGAGTTGTTCTTTTCAAGTCTGTCTGTCTCTGCCGTCATTTCCACAGTAACTGACAGCAGTAGAGGAGGAGTTAGACAGATTCTCACATTACATTAGAACGATAAAATTCAGGTAGAAATTCCTTTAAAACAGTGTAAAGTCCTGAGTACACACCATATGCCAGCAGCAGTATGACAGTGATGATGGTCATCCACAATAGCCACCCAGCTGTGAACCTCAGTAGCAGGATGAAGACCAGACTAACAGTAAAGGATAACAGCAGACCTCTGTAACACATGTACAGATACAAAGGGAAGATTTAAAAACATCATGTCAAAATATAAGGTTCTGCTTGTAGTTGCAACTTGAAAATCACCCTTGGCTCAATTGTTCAGATTCTAAAATTTCCACAACCTCAACATGCAAAGTAAATTATTTCAGGTTTATCATTTTAAAAAGTGCAAGGATAAAGACAATTAAATAAATAATATCATGTTTTTTTTTTTTTTTGATGAACAGTGTTGAGACACACATGTTTTGTTTTTTCTGTATGTGTTGTTTATGTAGTTACATGAGTATCCATGTCCATGATTTGGCATAATCTTCCACTATCTTTATGCCCAGCTCTTTAGTGTCCACTAGACCAGTTATACCTCTGCAAGGGAGAGAGAAAAAAAGAGTGTTAATATACAGACAAAGGTAGGAATTTTACTAGAAATTAAAAACAAAGACTGGCCCCATTGAAGTGACATGTATATCAAAGACAAATACATTAAAAATACATTTTTATGATCCATGTACATCACTTGACTATACTCATTTGCAGTCAAGGTCTAGATGAGCTATTTTCCTCTTGATCACTGGAATTTATGTGTTCATATGTTCACACCTTGACAACTACGTACTCTATTCCCAATCCCTAAATCACATTCCCTCACAATGTGACATTTATTTTGATGAATAAAGTCTATGGTAGCTACCCGTCACCAGTCAATTAATGCCAATAAACAAAATGCAATCTGTATCTGTAATCTGTAAATTATCCACATTAAACACATGTTAATGTGATGTGTCGTGATCAGATCTGCTTGACCACATCTCAAGGTAGTCTGTGTCACATAGTGTGAAGACCTTAGGTAGGTGTAAATGCAAATGTACAACCTCTTGGCATCTGTGTAATACATGACTGATAACTAACATAAAATATTGATTGTCCAAATTTAGAGAGCAAGCAAATGAAAATGGCTGAAAGAGACACACCTCTAATTTCTGATTATATGTCTATTCTGTGACGCGAGAGCAGCAAAAGTTGTGTTGTTTAACAAAACTGTATGAAAAATGAAAGCAGAACAGGTGAAAATTAATTATATACAGTAAGAAATTACTGTGTGCGATTCATCATTGTTAACAAAGCTTAACCATAACTAGACAAAAAAGTAGCCTACATGCTGGTACTACAACACACCAGGACAAACTGACACAATATTTTTTATACAAATAAAATAATTATCCAATTTCATTTATAGTAAATGGACCTGTACTTGTATAGCGTACACTCAAAGCGCTTTTACACTATGTGCTACATTTACCCTTTCATACACATTCACACACTGATGCACAGCATCGGGAGCCATTGGGGGTTCAGTATCTTGCTGATACTGATACTTCGACATGTGTGCAGGAGATCGAACCAACAACCTTCCAATTAGGGGACGACCTGCTCTGCGTCTGCACCACAGCCGCCCTTTATAATTCTATTACATTTTTTTAATGTTTTTTTTAATATATATTGGGCTTTTTGCCTTTACTGGATAGTGACAGCTGAAGATTTACAGGAAAGGTGACAGTGAGAGGGAATGACACACAGCAAAGGGCCAAAGGTTGGACTCAAACCCATAGCCGCTGCAGTAAGGACCCAGCCGCTGCACACTGGGGGCCAGCCCCACCAGGTGAGCTACAGGGCGCCCCAGATGAATTGTTTTAAATTTGTTTTTGTTTTTTGCGGGCTGATTTGTTGCCACTCCAAATTCACACAGCTTTCCTCTGGAAGTCAGAGATCAGGTCTCAATGAGGATAACGAGAACCCATTAAAAATACTAGAATATCAGATCATTTATCATCTGGATAACATGTCCCGATACAGATTT